ACGAATCATGCCAATGCCAGTAAAATACCCTTTCAACGACCCCAGAACCAAAAGTGAAACTGTCGCCAAAAGACACGAGAAGACAAAGACAACATCCACGCCCCTACCCTTCCCAGGAACATACGCCAGCAACGGGAGAAATCCAAACATAACAAAAGAAATAAACATTACGGCACCTTGTTTCTTCGGGCCGTGCACATCGCTGAGGTCGAGAAGAAGCCCGAGTTCTTCCGTCATCATGAAGTCCACAAAGAGCTTTGGATCCTTGGAAATGATGTTCACAATTGTTGTGGCGTCCTCATGTGAGAGTCCCTTCGCCTCGTATATTTGAACCATTTCGTCTACCTCCAAGTCAAATGCATTCTCCACTTCCCATTCCTCTCGGCGACGCTCAGCCAGCGCATTCTCTCGCTCCGCCTCCCCGGAAACGTACTCCCCGAACCCCATTGAAAATCCATCTGCAATAACGTTGGAAAAGCCAAAGATAAGGATTGTCACGTAACTGTTGTTGCTGCCAACTGCCGCCGCAACAATGGCAAATGTTGTCATGATACCGTCAAGACCGCCAAATACAACGGACTTGATGTAATCGGAGGCAGTAGAGCTGTGAAATTCTTCGTGGGGAAGCGGCTTTGCATGCTCACGCCTAGACATTTCCAGGTCACCTTTTAGAAAGGCCGTCCTCGCCCTGGCGGTGCTTTTGTAATCCGTGATGGCCTTCACTTCGATCCTCTTTGCCTCGGACATTATATTTACACTTTCCTTCTTTTCCTTTTGTTTTTTTGTTTTTTGTTTTTTCAGGTTCTTTTTTGTTGTTGTTGTTCTTGTTGTTTTCCGTTCCCTCAAGCTCTAGGCCGTAACACTGTTTGCTGCTGGATTTACACCATAATAATTCCAGCAAAGAAAAAAGACAAAAATAAAAAAAAGTGCGGCCATGCAATAAATTACAGCGGGCAGTAAAATATATATATATAAAGAAAAAATGGACTGACCTTGGAACCCCAGGCACATGGATGCATACGTGCTGCACACCACATACATTCCAAGGTTTTAAAAAGGGATAAATAATGGAGAGAGCATAATAAGTTTTACCATCAAAAAAAAAAGTCCCCATCACTCTGAGCCGTAGTCAAGCAGAAGCTCTTCCCCCTCTTTCAGATCCCTCGTGGCGCACACCACCACGCGACGACTGGAAAGTGGTTCCGTTTCAAAAACAACACGCCGTCGAGTTCCTGAGGAAACAAAGTCAGACTGTGTGCATGTATACAATGCACAATTCGCCGCAGTGCTGTCATCCTGGCTCCCTCTGACGCCTCCCCCTTTCGCCTCCAAAAGCGTCCGGGCCACGGCGGAACTTCGAATAACATCAACGACTGGCACAAGCGTCGGCAATAGATCGAGGTCTGGTTGCTCAGTGAACAAGTCGGCCAAGTCACCCGGTGACGACGGAACGCAGTCAATAGGCAATAAAAGACTGCGATGAAGTACCATGCGATATGCCATGGACAGTTCATCAAAGCTAGGAACAAGATGACGTGGTATATTTGTTACCCGTCGTTGGTGGTAAAAATGAAGTGCGGCGTGCGTGACACGCAACTGGCCCTCCACGCGTTTCCACAACGATGAGAAAACCGACTCCTCCAGAGCAGCGACATCCACGCCCTCCGGTAGCGAGGCAACTATGGCCGGATAGCATCGGATATGCGTTGATGTAAAGGGCGATGGCAATTCTGGCATTATCAGACGCGAAAGAAGTGGCGCG